TTTGAAGCTCTGTTGTAAGCTCAATACACCTTTAGGATTGCATGTTTTGGGGAACTGACCCCTTTATCATTATGTAGAATTCTTCTTTATTCCTGATAATATTCCTTATTCTGAAGTTTACTTTGACATTAATATAGCTACTCTAACTTTTGCTTTGTGTTTGCTTAGTTTTGTATCTTTTTTCATCCTTTTACTTTTAACTCATTTGTCTTTATATTTTTTAATCTTTTTTTTTTAAATATTTATTTATTTGAGACAGAGTGAGAGAGAGCGTGAGCGGGGAGAAGGTCAGAGGTAGAAGCAGACTGCCCACAGAGCTGGGAGCCTGATGCGGGACTTGATCCCGGGACTCCGGGATTATGACCTGAGCTGAAGGCAGTGGCTTAACCAACTGAGCCCCCCAGGTGCCCCTATCTCTTTATATTTAAAGTGAGATTCTTATAGACAATATAGTTGGTTTCTTGCTCTGTCAGTCAATCTAACAACTTCTTCTAAAGTTTATTCACACTGAATGTGATTATTGCTGTGTTGGATTAAAATATACTATCTTGTACACCGTTTTCTATTTGTTTCATTTTTTGCTTACTTTTTTCTTCTTTTTCCATCTCATGTATGTTACCCAAACATTTTAACAATCCCAGTTTATCTTTTCTGTGAACTTATTATTTATATGTATTTAAAATTTTTTCAAAAAGAATAGTAATAGTAGACCTAGGGTTTACAATATACATCTGTAATTAGAGTCTACCTTAAAATAATAAGGTATCACTTCACATGTAGGATAAGGACCTTAGAAAAGTATAGTCTCAATTCCTTCTTCCCATCCTATTGCTATTGTCCTACAGTTGCTTTTTTTTTTTTTTTTTTTTAGGATTTTATTTATTTGTTTGACAGAGAGAGAGATCACAAGTAGGCAGAGAGGCAAGCAGAGAGAGGGGGGAAGCAGGCTCCCTGCTGAGGATGCGGAACTTGAACCCAGGACCCTGGGACCATGACCTGAGCCGAAGGCAGAAGCTTAACCCACTGAGCCACCCAGGTGCCCTACAGTTGCTTTTATACATGCCGGAGACCCACAGCACATTGCAGCTGCTTTCGCTTTGTACAGCAGACTTTCAGAGCAGAAGTCAGCAAACCAAGGCCCATTGGCCACTCACCCTGCCACCTCTTTTTGTATGGCCTGTAAATGAGGAATAGTTTTTAAAATTTTTTAATGGTTGGAAAAAATCAAAAGAAAAAAATGACATGTGAGAATTACATGAAACTGAAATTTCAGTGCCCCCAAATAAAGTTTTATTGGAATATAGCTACAATCATTTCTTTATGTTTTGCCAATGTCTGCTTTCATACTTAAAGTCAGTTAAGTGGTTGCAGCAGAGACCATAAGGCCTGCAAAGCCTAAAATATTTGCCTTTTACAGAAAAAAATTTTTTGCCACCCTCTGCTTTAGAGCAATTAAAAATAAGAAAAAGGTTAATTTTATTTTACCTACAGTTATTCCATTTCTAGCACTGCTCTTTGAGCGAACCCAGGTTTCTGTCTGATACCATATTCCTTCTGTCTGAAGAACTTCCTCCAGCTTTTTTTTTAATAGACTAAATCGGCTAGCCCTTAATTCCCTCAATTTTTGTCTGAGAAAGTCTTTATTTCCTCTTCATTTAAAAAAAATATTTTCTGTAGGTTAATAGGTTTGTTTGTTTTTTTCTTTTAGTGCTTTAGGTACTTCATTGGTGTCTGGCTTATATCATTTCTTTCTTCGTATCTTTTTTTTTTAAGATTTTTATTTATTTATTTTACAGAGAGAGAGAGATCACAAGTAGGCAGAGAGGAAGGCAGAGAGAGAGGGGGAAGCAGGCTCCCCGCTGAGCAGAGAGTCCGATGCAGGACTCGATCCCAAGACCCTGAGACCACGACCCAAGCTGAAGGCAGTGGGCTTAATCCACTGAGCCACTCAGGCACCCCTGGCTTATATCATTTCTGACTAGAAGTTAACTAATTATCTTTGTTCCCCTGCATGCCTTTTATTCTTTGTCTTTAAGATTTTCTCTTCATGTTTTTAAAAATATGATATGCCGAGGTGTTCTTTATTTGTCTGGCATTTATCCTTCTTGGTGGTCTTTGAGATTCTTTGTGGTTACATGTCTGTCCTTACTTTTGGAAGATCCCTGGCCTTTGCCCACTGCATGCCAGTAGTTCCTCTCCTCTCAGCTGTGTCCACTAAGTTTGTCTCTGGACATTGTCAAATATCTTCTGGTGGGCAAACCCGCCCCGACTTGAGAACTATTATGGTAAGCAAACTTACCCTTGGCTCCAGAGGGAGTCGCTATCTTGCAAAGTTCCCTATACAATCTTTAAAAGATAGTCTAAAACAAGAGCAATCAGTGCCTCCTTTTGCAAGATGTGCGGAAATGCATGTGATCCATGGATAACGTTGTCTCCCAACATTGGTTTTAACTTAATGGCACTGTGGTTAGAGGAACACTCCATATGCCATGGATTATTTGATTTGTTGAGACTTGTTCATGGCCCATCTACGGTTAGTTTTTGTAATTGTCTTATATGTGCTTGAAGACTGTGTTTTTTCTAATTGTTAGGTGCAAAGTTTGGTGTATGTTGATCAGGTCAAGATCATGATAATTCCATATAGATCTTTTGTGCCTGTACAACTTCTCTGTTTGAGCTGCTAATTACTAAGAGAAGTATGTAAGCCCTTTCTGTTGGCAAATTTGTCCATTTCCCCTTGTAATTCTGTTGATTTTATATTATATATTTTGAGGCTATATTAATAGGTACATCCCCCAATTCGAGAGCTAGAACACTAGGTAATTTACTTCAGGTGTTTGTGAGCTCTTCCCCATCCTGGCTTCTGCCTCCTCCAACTGGGATAGCTACTGTCCTGTCCTGCTCTTTTTACTTTTTCCCTAATTTTTTTTTTAATATTATTTCCCCCATTTATTGCTTCATGAGTTATATTTGAATTTTATTCTTTAGGTGGTTTCCTTTCAATTCTTAATACATGTACTTAAGAAAATCCCATATTTATCCTTAAACCTACTCTCCTTCTGGGGCACCTGGGTGGCTCAGTCAGTTAAGCATCTGCTTTCAGCTCAGGTCATGATCCCAGCGCCCTGCTCAGCAGGGAGCCTGTTTCTCCCTCTTGCCTGGCTTGGGCACTCTCTCTCTCTCTCTCTCTCTCTTTCTCGTGTGTCAAATAAATAAATAAAATATTTTTAAAAAATCTACTCTTGGGGTGCCTGGGTGGCTCAGTTGGTTAAGCTTACCCCACTGAGCCACCCAGGCGCCCAAGATCTTAACAGATCTTAAGATCTCATTTATGTCTTGGACTTACTCAGCCCTACTAAAAATACATCTATATGTAGATTTTTTTTATTTGTTTGGGGCTTGTTGTGACCTTTAAACCTATAAAATCACATTTTTCATTAATTTTAGAACATTTTAAGCTATTATTTTGAAATATGCAAGCTATGTTGCATTCTAAACATTAAAAAATAAATAAATAAACAATGGAAGCAGTTTGGGAGAGAGGTGGGTTGTGTCTGCAGAGTCCTTCTACAGAGTAGAAGGCTTACCTGTATCTGCTATGAGTTGTTACAAATACCATCTAGAGGTAAACCAGACACTGGCAGGCATGCAGGGAAGCAGAAATGGGAACGATGGGAATATTCCCAGGAAGCAGTTAAAGCTAAAAGGAGAAACCCAACTTCATGAATGTTTTCTCCCACAGTCAATAGATCTTCTCAATCCAGCAATATTTAACTGGAAATATCAGGTGGTGTGTGTCTCCCTTGTGTTCCCATAGCATACTGTTCTTCCCAGAGAGTAGCACAGCACATGGAATTGTCCTGACCTGTTTTGTTTTGCTGTAAGTTAAAATATAAACTAGACTGTGAATACCACCAGGACAAGTACTATGCCAGATTTGTTAAAATCGTATCCCTAGCACCCAGCCTAATGGCTGGTGTATAGTAGATGCCCAATAAAAATGCATTGCTTCAGAGAATGAATAATTTGGAGGCAGATGTATTGAATGTCTAACAGTTAACCTTTTCTGTGTTGAATGCCACAGAAAAGTGCTTTTCCAGTTTTTGGATTTCACTAACAAGTTAAAACATTGATCCTTTATGGAATTTTTAATTTTTATTTTTTTTTAAAGATTTATTTATTTATTTATTTGACAGACAGATCACAAGTAGGCAGAGAGGCAGGCAGAGAGAGAGAGGAGGAAGCAGGCTCCCCACTGAGCAGCAGAGAGCCCGATGCGGGGCTCGATCCCAGGACCCTGGGATCATGACCTGAGCCGAAGGCAGAGGCTTTAATCCACCGAGCCATCCAGGTGCCCCTCTTTATGGAATTTTTTAAAACTACCATATCCGGGTGCTTGGTTGGCTCAGATGGTTAAGCGACTGCCTTCTGCTGGGGTCATGATCTTCGGTCCTGGGATTCAGCCTCCAGCGAGGATAGGGTGTCTGCTTCTGCCTTTCCCCCTGCTCATGCTCTCTCTTTGTATCTATCTCAAATGAATAAATAAAATCTTAAGAAAAACTACCATAAGCAATTTCATAAAATTTTAACACTGTAAAAGTAGGTGACACATGATAGAATACTATTCTCTTTTGTGAAAGACTCCCTACGTTATCTTTTTAAAAATCTCATTTCTCACCTGATCAGTGAAAGTATCATTGACTGGCTCCTTATTCACGGAAGGGCTATTGCAAACCTATTCATACAGAAAAAAAGTATAAGGTAGAGGTGCCCCTAGCTCGATAGGCTTTGTGGTAAACAAAACACAGGCAACGGACAGCCTAGAGTTACTCTTCACCGTGCTGACTATTCCTTGGCAGAAGAACGGAAAGATAAGTGTGTTTGGAGCCCCTGGGAATGGATGAACCTTGGTCTGGTGTGGAACTCTGTGTTTACCAAGTGTGTTTAGACAAATTACCCGATTGAGTTATCACAATTAACTCGTGAGATATTACTCCTACCTTACAGGTGCAGAAAGGGGTTTGGAGAGATGCATCTTTGTTGGAGGTGATATGCCCAAGGACACACACAGTCCTACTGATTGGTTCAGCGCAGAATGTGAGATCCGGAACTCAGACACTTCCAATTCAGGGCTCAATCTACATCCTGCTACCTTCCTGCAAGATTAGGGAACGCAACGTCAGCAGAGAAAGGTGCACCACTCGGAGTACTGAAGCATCGCAGTAGGATGAGTAGGGACAAATGTGGACCAAAGTATCCCACAAAATACCTTTTTGTCCAAGGTCCTGAGGTACTTCGTATAAAGCTGGAAATTGGGTGACCTGGAGAGCAATGGAGAGGTGTGGTCAGGTCTCAGGTTTTTGGAGAGGGGCGCGACCCAGCTCGGGCCTCTCTGGGGGGCGTGACCGGCGGGGCGGGGCGGGGCCGGCGGGGGCGGGGCGGGGCCGGCGGGGGCGGGGCGGGGCCTGGCCTGCGACTGCCAGGCGCGCTCGGGGCGGGGCTTCCCCGCGGCAGTCCGCGAGCTGGTGGGCTTCCAGCACAGTAGTTCAACGGCGGCGCTGCCGGATAATGGGGAGCGACGGGCCTCCGAGCGACGGCTGCGCGCCCCCGCGGCCGCTGCACTCGGCGCAGGCGGTGGACGTGGCTTCGGCCTCCAATTTCCGGGCTTTCCAGATACTGCACTTGCACCTGGATCTGCGGGCCGAGTTCGGGCCTCCGGGGCCGGGCCCCGGGAGCCGGGGCTTGAGCGGCACCGCGGTCCTGGAGCTGCGCTGCCTGGTGTCCGAGGGCGCCACCGAGCTGCGGCTCGACTCGCACCCGTGCCTCGAGGTGACGGCGGCGGCGCTGCGGCGACAGCGGCCCGGCTCGGAGGAGCCGCCCGCGGAGCCCGTGCCCTTCCACACGCAGCCCTTCTCGCACTACGGCCAGGCCCTGTGCGTGACCCTCCCGCAGCCCTGCCCGGCCGGCGAGCGCTTCCAGGTTCTGCTCACCTACCGCGTCGGGGAGGGACCCGGGGTGAGTTCGACCCCGGGTCCCTGCCCCGCCGCGGCCTCACTCGGCCCCTTCCTGCCCGCCCTCCCCCCTCGTTGCTGGTCCCAGGACCCGCACTCACGCCCACCCTCAAAGAGAGAGAAGATGCTTCCGCGGTTACCGGGAGGGGTCCCGAAGCTCTTCGGTGGACGCCCCTCGCCCTCCCACCTTCCGCGCCCTCTCTTCCTCCCGGGCTGCCCCGCTCTCCGTCTTCTGGCTTCGGGCCAGCCTCCGAGCTGTGCACCCTCCGTCTTTTCCGCCCTTCCTGCCTCCCCAACGGTTCTGCTTCCTTCTCACACACCGCCCTGTCTGGTTGCCGGTTCTGCCTGCCGAGGAAACCCTATCCTGTGCGGCTTTCGGGATCACCGGCTCTTTATAAATCGAATTTAACGTGTCACAGGGCTTTGGGGCCTAGGTCCCTGATAATGAGCTACTTCGTTTTTCCTTTCTAGCAGCAGGGACAAAGCCGGTTAATTAGCCCTGGGTGCTGACTCAGCCCTTTGTCCGCGTGCTCTTGCGGCGCCACAGGCTGAAGTAACTCTGAACCCCGGAGAGTTACTTTGTTTTCTTCTGCGAAGTCCTAGGTCGGTCTAATGGAAGAATTTGAGTAAAAATGAGAACTGGAATTAGGGTGTTCTAGGCTTTGTAGTAAGTTGGTCCTGTTCTTATTCTTGGTTGATTCTTAAATATTGATCGACTCTTAAATATTAATTTTTTGGGGGGCGGGGGTGGGACAAATACTGGAACTAAAAGGATGGGTGTTTATGTGGCCTACAGTTGTAAGAGTTTGGAACTCCCTCATAAAGAGTCCTGAGGCCGTGGTTGCAAGTCATGTCTCAGGCAGAGTGAGTTACAAGTTCCAGGGGTAGGCCGCTTGCCTGCAATCAAAGTTTACTTATCTATCTAGCAGTTCCTTTCACTCTTAGAGCTGGCCAAAAGGACAGTTCTGTTTCCGTCCTTATTCAGGGAATAAAGGAACCCATGATAGAACTTGTTTCAAAAATGAAAAGTTCAAAGCAATGTAAATTGACCTCTAAGGCAAAGGAAAAACCCGGTGCCCCCTGGGGATAACATAGCATCGGTAAATGGGTTTGGTTGCCCTGTTATGTGCTAGCTTCTGGTTTGGGGCAGGAACTAGGAATTGAACAGGGGAAATGGAAATGTCAAGCCGTCTCTGAAATCGCCTACTGAAAATGGCACCTCAAATAGACTAGCTTTCATTAGAGACGTAAGAGCAGACACCCGCACTTTGCACTGTGAAGATCTACATTAAAGAAACCCGCATTTATTCCTTCTTCTCATTGCCACCATCCTGAGGGAGGGCACTCAACTTAATCACTGTACATTACAGCCCCACCCTGAGTTGAGACTCTTTCTTATATAGTGGAAATACTTGTATTACCAGGCTCCTTCATTCTCTCCTCTATGTCATTGTAAACAAAACCCCCAAAAAACCTCAAAGATGAAGAATAAGGAATTATGGTACGCTAGAGGGGATGACCAGTACTTATGAACTTGACAAAAGTTAAATGAATTTTCTTTATAGAAGTGCCTAATATAGTGCCTAGTGAATACTGTGTTAGTCTTACTGTTAACACGTTAAATTTCTTTCAATAATAGGATTAAAGGCAGTTTAGGGGTGCTGGGTGGTTTAGTCGGCTAAGTGGCTGATTCTTGATTTCAGCTTAGGTCATGATCTCAGAGTTGTGAGATTGAGCCCTGCCCCCGCACTGGGCTCTGTGCTGGATGTGGAGCCTGCTTGAGATTCTTTCTCATCCTCTCCCTCTGCCCCTCCCCCTGCAAATTTAATCTAAATTAAAAATAATTTAGATTAACAAGAAAAGTGAGCAGATAGTAATGGAGGTTTCCTATACCCTTCCATACACAGATTGCTCTATTGGCATTTTGTAAGTATGATATAATCTGTTACAATTAATGAACCAATACTGATACAGTATTATTAACTAAAGTTCATAGTTGGGTTTTTTGTTTGTTTGTTTGTTTTAAGGATTTTTTGTATTTGACAGAGAGGGAAAGAGAGTAGCTTCAGAGGGAGAAGCAGGCTCTCCACTGAGCAGGAAGCCTGATCTGGGACTTGATCCCAGGACCTCGGGATCGTGACCCGAGCCAACTGAGCTACCCAGGTGCCCCTGAAGTTCATAGTTTTTTGTTTGCTTGTTTGTTTTCAGTTTCTTCCTAGGCTTTACTTAGTATCATTTTCTGTTCCAGGATCCCATCCAGAATACTATAGTGTATTTAGCTTTCATATATCCTAAGGCTCCCCTTGGCTATGACAATTTCTCAGACTTTCCTTCTTTTTGGTGACCTTGGCAAAAAGGAGTATTGGCAGTTTTGAGGAGTATTGTATAGGATTCCTCTCTATTGGAATTTGTCTTTTTTTCCCATGATCAGACTCGAGTTATTAAAAATTTTTTTAAAAGTTTGTTTTTTACAGCAGCTTTAGGTTCACCGCAAAATTTAGTGGAATGTCACAAAGGTAAAGTGCTATCTTTGCATTGCATTCCGAGTACATGGTATCAACATGATTTGTGACTGTTTCATGATGACCTCACTCATCTGGCCGAAGTAGTGCTGCTTTTCCCACTGTGGTATTCCGTTCTCCTCCTTTCCATCTGTACTGTACCCTTTGGAAGGAGGCTCATTAAATTTTCACACACACACAAAAGAAACTCAAGCAAAGAAAAACCCAACATCTCCACGTGGCGTCCTTATGCCTCTTAAAAGTAGGTCTCCAATACCCACGTTCAAAGCCTTTCAGTCCACCTGCCAAGGCATGCCTCCCACCTCTGTATCCGAAATACCTCCAGTTCCCAGGGATCGCCCATCCATTCCCTTCTTCATGTTGCTGTCTACCTCCTTGAGAATGTCTTCTCCTTTCCTTTTTGACCATCTCGATCCTACTCACCTTTAAACCAGAAAGTTTTGCTTCCCCTCTAAAACCTTGCCAGAATTATCGAATCCTTTTCTGAATTCTAAGTGGCCATTTGGTGCTGACATAGCCTCTGCTCCCTCAAGATAGAGTGATGTAGGAAGTATGTATAGTTTGGGGGACTCAGCTGGCGCAGTCGGTAGAGCATGCAACTCTTGATCTTGGGGTTGTAAGTTTGAGCCCCATGTTGGGAGTAGAGATTGCTGAAGAATAAAATCTTCAAAAGAAATTTAAATAACATATAGCCAATGCCTATGATGGAAAAATACATTAATTCTGAAAGGGTAAGTTTCAGGAATGGAGAATGTTGTTCAGAATGGAGACTCCTCCCACTTTCCTTCTGCTTTTCTGTGGCTCTTATCTCAAGTTCAAATACAGCTGCTGCTCAGTTGGTTCTTGTTTGATTTTTATTTAAAAAAAATTTTTTTAAGATTTTATTTATTTGACAGACAGAGATTACAAGTAGGCAGAGAGGCAGGCAGAGAGAGAGGAGGAAGTAGGCTCCCTGCTGAGCAGAGAGCCCGATGTGGGGCTCGATCCCAGGACTCTGAGATCATGACCTGAGCCGAAGGCAGAGCCTTTAACCCACTGAGCCACCCAGGCGCCCCTTGTTTGATTTTTAATGAGAAACTACTATACCGTGAAGGACTCAGGGGAGGAAGAGAGGATGCCAGGGTCAGAGGCTGTGTCTGGAATTCTTAAGATACCCAGTGGGATACAGTGAGAAATAGAGCCTTTGTGGTGTTTCTACTATGGGAGGTGGATGTCAATACCTTGGCATGGGTTCCAGGGTGGATTAAATACACAGTAGGCGAGAACTTCCTAGTCAGTTCCAAACTGCTGGCAGGATCGTAAAGATTACCTAACATTCTCCCCTGCCAGCCAACTCCTTTTCTCTGGCTGGACTGAGCTCACGTAGGGGGTGTCAGTTTTGAAATGTTCTGTTCTCTTAGGTTTGCTGGTTGGCTCCCGAGCAGACCGCAGGAAAGAAGAAGCCTTTTGTCTACACCCAGGGTCAGGCTGTGCTGAACCGGGCCTTCTTCCCTTGCTTCGACACTCCTGCCGTGAAATGCACATATTCAGCTCTTGTTGAGGTAAGAGGATTAAGATTAAGTGAACCTGCCCTTGGGATTGAAAATTTTAGATCTCTCTCTTCACATTTCACCTGCTCAGTTGTTAACATCCATCCAGTGGTACGTCTGCAAAATTCCTCCATCTACAAATATTTTATCTTTGCTAAATCCCATCAGCCTAGCACAAGTTCAGTCTCTTGAAACCTTTGTGTTCTCCAAGACAGGCTCCCGGTGGTGGCTGTCACCATGCAGGTTGCCAGCCATGCTGTTCTTCCAGCGAATCAAAAGGACACTCTCTCCAGGTAAAAATCTCCTAAGCTTCCTCTGTT